AGGAGGGAGAGGGAGAGGGGAGGGGAGGGAGGGGGAGGGAGGGAGGGAGAGGAGAGGGAGAGGGAGAGGGAGAGGGAGAGGAGAGGGAGAGGGAGAGGGAGAGGGAGAGAGAGAGAGAGAGAGAGGAGAGAGAGAGAGGGGGGGGGAGAGAGAGAGAGAGAGAGAGAGAGAGAGAGAGAGAGAGAGAGAGAGAGAGAGAGAGAGAGAGAGAGAGAGAGAGAGAGAGAGAGAGAGAGAGAGAGAGAGAGAGAGAGAGAGAGAGAGAGAGAGAGAGAGAGAGAGAGAGAGAGAGAGAGAGAGAGAGAGAGAGAGAGAGAGAGAGAGAGAGAGACAGAGAGAGAGAGAGAGAGAGAGAGAGAGAGAGAGAGAGAGAGAGAGAGAGAGAGAGAGAGAGAGAGAGAGAGAGAGAGAGAGAGAGAGAGAGAGAATTAAAAACGCAGTACCTGGCATCTTCACTTATCATTTATTAACTAACCGGCAACCTTCCATGTTGCTCTGGCAGACCTCCAAGTAAACAGAGGAACAGGGGTGCCAACATCTTGCATCCATCGGCATTATCACTCATTATACATTGTTTCTTAAGTTCATAATCGATGCAACGTCGATGGAGCGTTTCTCAAAATTAGTCCGTGTAACTTGCAATATGCATAACGTCGAAGATCGCTCGGCGAGTTCCGCGTGTGGCGACATCTGGCAACTAGCTTCAAAGTCACCTTGAAAGCAGTGTTGCCAACAGGTCTTGCAATTAACTATTATATCAGATATCCTTCTTGTACGTAAATCTTTCTTTCGTCCATTTGCAATATTTTAAAGATGACAGGCTCTTGCATCAAATCCGAAGAAAAAATAAGTGAAAGAACATTTTCTTTTGAAAATAAGACACCGTTCGACTTGGATAGAATGCAATCAATCATTGTTGCAAGCATTTAAAGCTGACTATGGCAATGCTGAAAGCCGCGTCCGAAACCTGCTTGCAACTTTTTTTTATTTTCTTCTGCAACAGAACGGAGTAACAGGAAGTAACTGCATTTGCTCAATTGTTAAAGTCCATATCACTGTTTGGTTTGTTACTGAATGTGAATGAATATTCATGTAAACAAATCTTAAATGTTATTGAATATAGTCCTCCCTTATATGTCATAAAGAATTAGCCTCAACTAGTAATCTCCATTTATCAAATCGACTTTTAGATTACAAACAAAAAAATGATTTTGGGAATAATGATTAACAGGCCTTAAATAAATAAATAAATCTGCTTGTGTATTGCATTGTTTTGTCTGAAATCTAAAATTATTGCACATCACGCGTAGGTCAGAGAGAGCGGGAGAAACCGTCAACTTAGCGATTGATAAAATTGCACGAAAACAACTCACTCCCTTGCAACATTTATACATTCCTATAAACAATTCAAAGTGATATTCTCTATGCAACATTCTCGATCGACATTGATTTCCAAGGTATATATAATCAATTTTGTACAAAAGGGGGAATTACTAGCACACAACTATTGTAATATAGAGAGATTGCAAAACCTTTGCAACACTTGAGAGTGGCACCACTGGCTTGCAGGGTGAAGGGTGAGGAGAGGAATGGGGTTGGGGGAGTGGGGGAGGGGGAGGGTACCTGACTCCATTTTCAAGGTTAAATCGTCCTAGGCTCACTTTTAGCGCCATTTTCTCGTCTATGCAACGTGTTTTTTGGACGTAAACCAATATGCAATAATCTTTCGTAATCTAGATTATCATTGAGCTCCAACTGACTCTATTCCATTCTCTATCTCTCCCCAATTATTATCATTTACTCTCTCTCTCTCTCCTTTCTCCTCCTTCTCTTTCTGTCTCTCCCTCTCCCGCTCCCCTCCCTCCCTCCCTCCCCTCTCTCTCTCTCTCTCTCTCTCCCTCCTCTCTCTTTTTTTCATCCCCTCCGAATTTCTCTTCGCTCGTCCCAACCACCTGTTTATCCCCGGCGCCCCCTTGGCTTCGCCCGGTATTTGCAACCAATGCAATCTCCTTGGGGCTTTTTTTTTTTTTTTTTATTCTATTTTTATTTATTTTCATTTTTTTTTTTGTGTTTTTGTTTGTGGGGCGTGGTTTATTTGTGTATTTATTTACGGCTCTTCTATTTCTGGGTTGGGTGATGTGGTTGTGTGTTTGTTTGTTTATTGTGTGGGAGTAGTGTGTGTGTGTGTGTGTGTGTGTGTGTGTGTGTGTGTGTGTGTGTGTGTGAGTGTGTGAGTGTGAGTGTGAGTGTGAGTGAGTGTGAGTGTGATGTGTGATGTGTGTGTGAGTGTGAGTGTGTGTGTGTGTGTGTGTGTGTGTGTGTGTGTGTGTGTGTGTGTGTGTGTGTGTGTGTGTGTGTGTGTATCTGTGTGCGTGTGTGTATGTGTATGTATGTGTCAATGTCCGTACGTGTGCCAATGTGTGGATGTATGCATGTCATTGTGCGGGTGTATGTGCGCGGGTGTGTGTGTGTGCGAATGTCCGCATCCCCGCCCGTGTGTACGTATGGCGAATAAACAAACCTCACACACACACAGAATGCCTAGGAGTTTACGTGGGAGTATACACGCAAGCATCACCGCCTTGGGAAAGGGAGAGAAATCGCGAAGAGAGAAGGAGAGAACAGGGGAAGAGAAATATAGAAAGAGAGAGAAGAAGAGGAGGAAGAGAAGAGAGACGAGGGAAGAGAAAGAGAGAAGACAGGAAGAGAAAGAGAGAGAAGAGGAAGAGAAAGAGAGAACAGAGGAGAGAAAGAGAATGAGAGACGAAAGACAAAGAGAACAGATAGAGAGAAATAAAGAACAGAGGAAAAGAAATAAAGAACAGAGGAAGAGAAAGAGGGAAGAGAAAGAGAGAAGGAGATAAGCGGAGAGAGAAACCCAGCGTAGGATAATGTGGATTACGCGGCTCATTTCGGCCGAGATTGAGCGCCTGGAGGAGGAAGGAGGAAGGAGGAAGGAGGAAGGAGGAGGAGGATGGAAAGGGAAGAGAAGGGAAGAGGAAGATGGAAAAGGGAGAGGAGGGAAGATGAGGAAGGAAGGAGGAGGACCGAGGAAGAAAAAGAAAGGGGAGAGGAGACGAGAGGATAGACCAGGTGCGGAAGGAGGATGCAGGAAGAGAGAGGAAGAAGGAAGACCAAACAAGATGATAAGGAACAGGGAGGAGGAGAGACAAAGAGGTGGAGGAAGAGGAAATCAAGGAATAGGGAAAGGAAGGAGATGTAAGTTAGGAGAGGAAAGAGTAAGAATATGAAACGGACGATTAGAATGAATGGAAGACTAAATACGACATAAGAAATAAAGGAAAAACCAAATAATGGAATATTTCATAGAGAGAGAGAGACAGCGATGTAAGGAAGAAGGAAAGAGAAGAGAGAACGGGTGACAGAAGCGAGATTGATTACCTCCTGACCTGCGCAAACCACAACTCTTTCTTTCTTTCTTTCCTACTTCCTCCCTCTCCCTCTTTCTTTCTCCTACTTCCTTTCCTTCTTTCTCTCTTCCTTCTTCCTCCTCCGCACCATATAAGGAAGAAAATCACAAGCACAACGCCAATAAAATCCCGAATTAACGAAGCAACACATGATAATTAGACCCGCTAATGAAATGCTATAATTATCCCGAGCGTGTGTCTCCCTGGAAACGAATGGGGTGGGGGTGGGGGGGGGGTATTCTCATCACAATTATTGCTTGCTTTGGCTGAATCGGGAGCTTTGTGCTGAGGACATTAGGATGACGCCGTTGCAATTATTTCGATGGTCTTCATGAGAGAGAGAAAAAAATAAATAAATGGGTTAGTGTGGGGAGGGCGGGGGGGGGGGAGGTAGGTCTCATTTCTAATTGGATTTTGGCCGTCTCTTCTTGTGCTGGAGTATAGACAGGCATCAGATTGAAAGACAAAAACAGATATGATGGGTATGTGTACCAAATGTTTACACACATTATATATATTATATATATATATAATATATATATATATATATATATATATATATATATATAAATATATAATATATATATATATATATATATATATATATATATATATATATATATATAATATAATATGTATGTATGTATGTATGTATTCATGTTTCCTGACACTAACCCTATATTTTCTTGAGGTCACTGTGGCACTCTTCGCTGCTCTGAGCAATGCTCCAATTACTGAGTCTATCATATGGTTTAATCTATATATACGTATGAAAATTATATATTAATAGCAGTTACATTCCATTGTGCAATTGTGTAAACTCTGTAACTGTGATATCTCAGAGGCCTTACATCTCTATGCACCCATTGTTCTAGAATTAATTGTACAACTAGACTGGATTCGAGCTTTTGATATTGTGTGTTAAAGCCACAATTTCAGATTAATGTTTGTGTTCAGCAAAGTCCTTTCAAGTGCACACTGATCATTCCGTATCTGCAAGTTTATTCCCTCTTCTTCAAAACGCCCTACGTGGATATCCTGTTCTGGAAGGAAACAGAAGAAGAAAAAAAAGAAAAAAAGGCACCGGCTCTTCCATTTGCTCGACATATCTGCTCCCTCAGATACTCATATTTTCGATGGAAATATATAAAGTCTGTATAACAGATGCCTTTTCCCCTTGGTCATTTGTAAATGCCAAACACAGCCGGTATACACATAGCGCCCGCTCGCGCGCACGCACGACCGATCTGACATTTACCAAGCGTTGTCAAGTTTTTTTTTCTCTCGTTTCCTGTTGCCTTTTCCCACCACGGTTTCATTTCCACCATCATTATGCATTATATTCATTGTTCTACACAGCAAGAGGAAAATAATTTTATGTCTTACCCACGTTTCTGTAAAGTGTATTAGAGTTCCTTCTTCCCTTTCCTTTCATGTCATCTGCTGAAGTGTGTACATACATCACTGTTTTCACAATAAAATACATACATATACATATCAGTGTTCATATTTTGAATCATTGCTCTCTTGGATAACTCATGTGGATGAACATATAATAAAACCACTATCTTAAGCTAATCAATGTTTTATTCTTGTTCTAAGCAAATATTAACTGACAGGGAAAAACCCTCCAAAGGTGGTTACTTCCTATCAGATATTGTCTACACAAGATTATATAAAAAGGTATAAATGATAATAAGAAATGACTAGTGCTACCAACATTATCATTCCTGTTATTATGTCAATTTTATGGGAATAAAGAAATCGTCACTAGGTCTCACATAGACAAAATACAGCTGACACACACACGCGCGCGCGCGCGCGCGCGCATACTAAAAGTCCCCACAATAATAATAAAATAAACAAATTAACTATGTTTGGACACATCCCAATCTTACGTACAAAACCAGCATTCTCCCTCCTCCCCCTCCCCCCTGACTTCTCCAATTTTCCAAATCATTTTATTTTTTCCTCCAAGAAATAGATTTAGAAAATTTGGCTCCCCATTCTTGAAGGTATGGCCACAGGCGTTATCGTTGTGTGTTTATACGTTGTATTGGGGAAAGTTCGAGACTTCCCTGCACGGTATCCACACACACACCCGAACGCCCCCGCCTCCCTCACGTTCCTTTCATTCCAACACACTAAATTACACAGGTTATTTGAAAGTTCGGATCCAACCAGGAAACACACATCATTGGCAAAACAAGACACTACATGCAGCACAAGTTTTAACACGGGATATAAACACAGTTCCCCATGATGCACTTTTCACTATCTTTTTTTCTGTATTTCTCTAAACACATTCTTTAACACGGATTACAGACCAGTTTGTATTTTGCGAAGTTTACAACATTAATAATGAAAAAGGATATGTATAATTTTTATTTCACACCGTTCTGACACATACTCACAAGGAAGTCACAGGGAATGATTACGACGGCGATGAAGAAACAAGAGAGATAAGAGACAAGATAAGGATTCTTCCAAAGGGGCCCTCCAGCTCGCGTCCTTGGCCTATTTCCTCCCAAGTCCTAGAGTCCTTTCGGATTCCTTCTCCTCTTTATTCGCTCCTCCCTGTTTTATTACCTCTTTTCCTCTCTTCCACATACCGGCCCGCGATATCCCATCCTGTTCTCTGTCTGCCTCTGTTATCTCTCTCTCTCTCTCTTTCTCTCCCTCTTTCGCTTTTAACTTAAGGATAACCATCCCCGATCATCCCTATTCATAATCTTATCCCTCGGAGTCATCATCATCTCTGTCTATGCCTGTCTGTCAAAAGATAAAACTGCAGAAGAAAGTTCATGAGATACAAAAAAGGGGGTTTAAAAAAGTGATATTGACGCAAGGACATTCACAAAAATAATCTTTTTTTGATGAAATGTAAAAAAAAAAAATATTGTGCAAGGATAGCATTTCCCATCAGCGCCTCTCTGTCCATATGGATAATGACGAAAAAAAAAAAAATCGAGTTATTAATATAAAACAGATTGAAGTAAAACAAGATACTATGACATTTATAAAACATCTATTGAATCCTCTGCTGCCACATTCGCTTGTATAAAAAAAATGGGAAAAAGAAGAAAGCACATTAGCTTTGATAAAGCAAACACTAAATATCCCTCTTCCATATTCCAAAATTCAAAATTAATGTTAAAAAAGAAAGAAGAAAAAAACTATCCACTCAGGTAGTCATATAGGCCTACCTCATATGATCACAGCGTCTCCCATTTCAATTTATACGTAAGTCAACATTGATATCAAAAACAAACACGTAACGGTTAATTAATCAAAATCTATATTCCAATTTCACTTTTTTTAAATGAGTGTGTGAGGGATCTTTTCGGTGTTGGTGAAAAGCAGTCATCATTATTGCTTTCTAAATTGATTTGATTTTAAAAATAAATAGGCTGGTTCCTTGTCAACATTAATGAGAACTGTTTTCACAAACCGCAAATGTATTGATATAAACACTACAGATGTTTCGATATCAAAGGACCCATTTACGACCTAATAAATTCCGATTTAAAAAGTGGTCTGATGTACAACTGCCAACCAGTCTCCCAATCAAATTATTGAAGGCTATCAAATCAATAATGGCAGAGTCTTCACCAATTCACAAAGACGATATTAAATAGTAACAAATTCATACATTAGTAGAAAACTTGTTACCCAAAAAAGGTCAAGTCAATATCTATCTATGCTGATCCCAAAAATGTGAAAGAATACATTAATAATGTCTATGAATACTTTATTTCCTCTCTTACTCTAAAAAAGTTGTGCAAACCCACACGAAGCAAAAAGGTCGCATTTTTAGTGCAGCATATGGTACCAGTGGCTCTCCGTGGAGGTGACAACGGTACCAAATTTGGCACCGAGTATAGGTTATGCCAAGGTTGAGGTAAAGGTGCCAATCGATATTTTAATTTTGTGCCTGACTTTTGTTCAAGTAGGTGGGTTGGAACTTGAACTTACTCCATATGGTGAGTGAAAATAGTTCAGTATTAGGGTGGAATAGCTCTATTTTTAGATGGGAATATGATAAAAGGTAGGGATTAGGGACTAGGAA